TAGTTTATGCAAAATGGTACATGAAACTCTTACCTTTTTAAAGTAAATGATATTTAAATATTTAAAAATACTTAATACAATTTCACTTTTGGCTCATGTTCTAAACTTATTAGAATCCATTTTAAAATACAATCCAGTGTAAATGGGAAATATGATTTAAAAATTGCTTTTCTGTTTGTTTTTAAATTCACTAGTATTAGTGAACACCCGCTTTTATTCATCAAACTGGAAATTGGTTATTTCCATTAAAATTTTCTCTTTTAATAATGTCACTAAATACTGGATAGCTGAAAGTTCAGCCTGTTTGTATATTAGTGCCATGTATGACTAAGACATTGGAATCTGTGTCTATGCTTTTAGCTCTAATGTTGCCCATGAAATCTCTGATGTGCACGGAGTTTGCTTGGTGCAAACAGGTGCATGTTGTAAGGCTTATGATCCCATGATTGCCATATGCCTATGGCATTGAAGAGCATGGCTGAGGGTTGTCCCAGTATGCCAAGGTTGTGGGTTTGATCCCCGGTTAGGGCACATACAAGAATCAGTCAGTGAATGCATAAATAAGTGGGACAACAAATTGATGTTTCTCTCTCTCTCTCTCTCAAATAAATAAATAAAATAAAAATAAAGAGCATGGTTGTTAGAAGAACTCCGAAACATATATTGTGTATTGGTGTGGCTTTCCCTGTAAGCAAGGCTTCTTAGAATTGAAGGGAGGTGCATCTGCTGGGCTTCCAGAGACAAGGATGCATGAGATACCGAGGCACCATCACTTTGACCTGACCGACTACATCATGGCAACAGGGCTTTGGCGCAGTGGCAGTTAGGAGAGACAGACTGATTTCCAATAGCTAGTGAGAAGCCTGGTCTTCCCTTAAAGAGAAAAATTAATCTAAGCCAAGGTCCAAGGGCCATCCATGTTCTCAGTTGCTTCGTGGAAGGTCTTCAAAAAATTGTATAGAAGTTTTTATGCTCCTCCATGCATTTTGGTTTTTCATTTTGGCAAACTGTTACTGTTATAATAGTGTGCTTTAGGGATTTAATGTTTGATGATTACGTCAGTTACATGCATGATTATTTGCACAAATTGACGCACAGTCATTTAACATATATTGAATGAACAACAGTACAAAATGTATTTCTTGAGCACCTGCTATTGGCCAGTTAGTGACCTAGGGCTGGGGTGACATCAGTAAACAGAGGAGATTGGACCCTTCCCTCATGAACTTTGCAGAATGGTGTCAGGAAATGATAAACAATGGACAGACAAATGGACAAGTAGGAATCAAGATGAGTACTAAGAGGAAAAAGCATTACTCGGGGAGAGCAGTGGAGGGCTCTAATTTGATTGCCGTCTGCCAGGGAGACTGGTTTTCAGCATGTCTGGCTACCGAGTCTGACAGTTGTCCACGGGATGGTATCTGACTCACTCTTGTGCCTTTGCCAGGCTTTTGAATTTTACCTCTCGTTCTCTTCTCATCTGATAGCAGTGCAGGCCTGTGATGGAAATGTGGACCCTGTTCTATTCCAGCCTCAGAGTCCTTGCTGACTGCGTTTGTGGTTGAACTGAGGCATTTTCTGTAATTGTTTGTGCTTAAGGGCAAACGTTATAAGCACAGAAGCTAAGGCGCTCGCGTGGAGAACTTAATGGGAAACCGTCATCTTTCCTTATTACATATTCTTTTCTTCTTCTTCCCCGCCTTGTTTTTCACGGGCGTTGTCTGTCTTGTTTGGAGAGTTAATATGGGCCTGGAAATCTCAGGTGGAATGATGAGGAGAGACGTGTTTTCCGTTGGAGCTTGGGTAGGGCCGTGCTGAGGGACGGCTTTGTCTCCCTTGTTTAATTAGAGAAAGTTGTTAGGGTTGTTTCTACCCCTGGCACTGCCCCAGGTGGGCACACAGAGGGAGCTGGACGGACAGACCTGCTGGGTAAAGGCAGCGCCTCTAGCACGCCCACGTTTGAACTCGGTGTGAGGAGGTGGCTTTGTTCCCTGCTGGAACACGTCCAACCAACACTTCTCTTTCTTCCTAGTTTACAGCTCCTCCTTGGCAAACAATGAAAAGACTGGAAAGCAAACAAACGTCCCCACAGAGTCACTTCTAACAAGGCCGGGTGGTGTTCGGTCGTTATTGTGGTTCCGGGCTGTCCAAGGGCGCCTGGGTGGTTGTCTGTGCACTGGCTGCTTTACTTAGTCCTTCTCTGTGTTTCATCAGTCAGTTCTTTTCATATTAAGAAGATATGGAAATGATCTCTGTGTTAGTTGGTCTTCTCTTACTGAAGCATTAAGTCTTAGCCTGAAGAGGTCTTCTCGGAACCCAGTTTGTGGCTTTCTTCTTGCAGCTCAACTCATGGCTTGAATTCTTGCAGCTCAACTCATGGCTTGAATTCTTGTGGGCTAACCTCAGAATTGAGTAATCTTTTTTGTTTATTTTCCCTTTGCCAATTTTCTTATCTATTTGTACTTATTCTGTGGGATCGTAGATATTTTGGCTCTCTCCACTGCTTTTTGGACTAAAATATAGTGGAAATAAACACTCATGGAGATGGGCAAGTATATGCATGTGTATGTGCATCGGTGCCTCTGTATGTGTGTGTGTCTTTGTGTGCGTGCCTCTGTGTGTGGTGTGTGTGTGTGTGTGTATGTGTGTGTGGTGTGTGTGTGTGTCTGTGGCTGGGGAATAGGGTTCTGAAGTGAGGTGTGAACTAGCTTCTAGCAAGGTGAACCCAGTTAAGTGACTGTCTTTCTGAGCTTCAGTTTCCTCATTGTAGAAGGTGGGGACGTCACAGAATAACAGTGAGGATCTGGGAGACGGCAGCCTCGAGGGACAGGAAGTCACTCAGGCCAGTGCCTGGCCCTGTGCGGCCTTTCCAGAATCCCAGTTTCCCATTGAAAAAATGTTCTGTTACATTTTGTGCTATTTACTGAAACATTTTAAAAATCACTAAATGTAACAGAAGACATTAAAGTATTATTTTAAATAAAAATAACTACAGCTGAAAGGAGCCCAAGACCAGCGTGCACACTCCCTCCATCGATGTGGTGTGGTGTGTGTGTGTGTGTGTGTGAGGGGGGGGGTGCGGGGGTGCAGGGGGGGGCAGGGGGACAGAATAAGCTGCAGGAACAGGATCTTTGCTTGCCCAGCTTCCTGAACCTGCTGAGGGATCCAAGAGGCCCCAGGATCAGGGGCTGAAGTTGGGGGACCCTGAAGAATTGATAGTCATCAGAAGAGATTCATTCTAATCTCAGGTTCACTCTCAGTTTGGAATGTTCTAGAAATAGAGTATAGGGTGTTGTGAGGACTGAGGCCTGTGAGGCAGCCAGACCACTTACGCTTGCAAACTCATCCACAGGCATTCCCTGTTTCTGTATCTCTGTAAATCTGTATCTATCTATCTATCTATCTATCTATCTATCTATCTATCTATCTCTATGTCTTTCTGTTTGTTTCTGTCTCTGTGTTCCTTTTTAATTGGACCCTTAGGAAAGAATGAGAAAGGGCTTTTCTGCTTGGGATGGCATAGTCTCTGGCCTTGAGGTTTTCCTGCCAATTGAAATCCAACTGGACAGTGTCCATTGGCACGTGGGCCCACAGTGGACGTTCCTGATACATATATTGGTGCTCAAATATTTGCAGCCACTTTTTACCGGGCCTCAGGTTTGGCCACAGAGTATCAAGGAGTCGTAGCTCCCCAAGCACTGGGAATAACAGGTCACTATTCTCCCCTTTTTTGCCAGCAACTAGGAAGCCTGACACTGGACACACCACGAACTCCCCCTTTTTAAAAAAACTTAGGGTTTTGAAAACATTTCCCACCCTTGTTAGTCAGGGCAGTTGCACCAAGTAGGGTTATAATCCCTAGCTTTGAATCTCCTGTCCCAGTGTTGCCTCTCATAGGGACTGACCAACAGTGTCGTCACTGTTCTGCCACTTAAATGCATCTTTGGAAAGTACAGTGATGAATCCACATCCAGCTGTGGGTAGTGTGTGATTTTGTTTTCAACATTTCATCATTGAATAAGAAATACAAGTGGATGGTGTGTCCCTGGATGACTTCAGGATATGGTGTCCGTCTGAGGGGCATGCTGTGTGGGGAGCTGTTTACCTGTGTTCCTAGACAGACTCCCTGCGAGGTACTTGGCCAGCTCAATCTGTATTAGTCTCTCTGATGAGGAAGTAAATTTCTAGAAGGCAGTGCTCATATGTTCTATAGTTCTCTATAATCTCTACAATGCCTTGCACTTAGCATTACATGATGCATTTGTTAAGTTAATTTTCTATGAATTATGATTACATGAATGTTCATATCATTACTAGCTTGGCCAATTAACTAGTGTAAAATGGGCTTCAACCTCCATAGGAAGCCTCAGAGCTCCTTGTGACTTTGCCATTCCATTCCTTGATGAGTCCAATTAAAAAAAAAGTGCTATAAGGTCTGTATGCTGTTCAAGATAAAGGATTCTTTGTTTTCCTCTGGAGAGGAGGTGGGCAATGGACAAAAGGGTAGTGATTTTAAGGAGAAATGGTTATTAGCAAATTGAGTTCTTAATAACTGCTATTTTTAAGAGACTGGTGGGGAGGGTGTAGTAGTAAAAGAAATGAATACGGCATAAAAGTAAAACATAAAACGGAGGACAGGGCTTCTACTGTAGCGTCTCTGTTTGTATTAAGAGCCCTTTAGCTTTGCCTTTGCAGCTGATCATAATTCTGTTTCAGGTCAATTCCATTCTCCATCTGTTGGCAGAGCGAAATTTGGGCCACGCCCAAGATAGCAGATTCTCTGCCCAAATTACAGGTTAGAGTAGAAAGCCTAGCACAAAAGTATACGTGGATCAAGTGCTTTTATTTTGTTGACATCGATGCCTATTAAATGACTTTTATGTGCTCATATTGGGGTGATTTGAAAGTGAAATTGTTGAGTGTTGGCAGAAACTGAACCTAATTTTTTTAAAAATAAAAATTCTCAAACTGAAATGATTTGTTTGTTTTTGCTCTGATAGGTTCCTCGCATTGACTCCATGGAGAGTGTATCACCTGATTGCTGTCTCGATACTTGGGCGAGTTATTATGCAAATAATAAAGGATATGGTTTTGTCTAGAAAGAGAGGTAAGAAAGCTCAGAATTCACTGTGATGGGGTTTAGTTTTCTAGAGCCTGAATGTCTGATTTTTGTGCAGGCATCTGAACCAAGAAGTCCTTTGACAAGGAGCAGGAAGCCAGGGGATACAGGCATTGACTAGCTACTTTTAATGTTGATTAAATATTTATTTATTAAATATTTATTTATTAAATATTTATTTAATATCTGTTACTTATTTAACTGATGTTGTCCCTAGTCATAGCTATTGCTCTGGGCAAAAGGTTTATATGTGTTGGTTTCTCTTTTAGCTCTAAGCACTATTATGTAAGTACCATTTTGATATTTAAGGATATCAGTGAGGATAACAGTTAAATATTTATCACATACTGCATGATGAAAATGGGCCATTCAAAAATGGACTGGTTTAGGTAAATTTTTTTTTACCTCAAAATGAACAAAAAATTCAGGGCTTAAAACACAAGTAAGTAATGGTTAAAAAATTTTTTAATTAGTTGGTGATGAAAAATGAATTTTAAACATTAAGTTTAAAAGTGAGAACTTACATTATTTTTTACTTTTTCTGAAGGTGTTTACTGACTAGCTTATCTCTATCATAAATCTGAGCCAAGCTTTTTCATACTCGGAGGGTCCTCCTCTACCAGGGTTTGAGCTTGTTTTGCAAATGGGCAACTTGGAATAATTGAGCCCCGTGAATGTGGTAAGATTGATTTGATCAAAGATAGCTAAGAGAACGTTACATTCAGGTATTTGATTTCACTACACATGATCCCAAATGGACAGATAATTTTGGTTGGGGTTCTCGTGATGAACGTGCATAAGACCTGCCCGGAGTTCTAACCCCGACAAGGACACTGAGACCTCTTTGTGGAGGACACCCTCTCCTGATGCCAACTCTGAGACCAAGGATATTAGGTATTAGGTATTTACTATCATGATGTGGACTGCAATCCAGTTTATATTTTAAGTCTTTATAGTTCTTAAACTGAAATGTCTTCATTCTAGTGTTCTGGGAAGGTGAACAAACTTGTTTTTGTCCAGTTGTTGCTTTTCATGAATTTGTAGATTTAGACCAGGGGTGGGGAACCTTTTTTCTGCCAAGAGCATAATTTGTGGGCCATACAAAATTATCAGCTTAAAAATTAGCCTGCTCTATTTGGTCAAACATTTAGTGAACTCACCCCTTTTAGTTAACTCACCCCTAATGCCTTGGCAGGGCCAGACCAAATGATTTTGTGTGTTTTATGTACCCCACCCCTGATTTAGATGATATTCTTGCATGTGTTCTTCCTTCTCACCCTCTCTTCTCCTCTCTCCTTCCGTAACCCCCTCTTCTGTGTCAGAGAACAGATTCCTAACTTTTAACCCTAACAGGCACCTGCCCAGATGCTCTCTGCTTACCCATATGTGTGAAGGCCGCCCCGCGGTGGAGCATCTTGGTGCTCTGGGATTTTGTACCAGGGTTGGTGGGATCAGTGCATGGTGGTCCCCATGTCTCTGCCTTGATTCACAACTGGTAGAGGAGAGCCTGTTTTTCTCAAATATACTTTGTCACATTTTCACCCTCCAGAACCTTCCTCTTGGGAATCTTAGTAGAAATAGCCCCCTGACAAATTTTATCCCTAGTCATTTTAGCTCAGCAGCAGAAATGGACTCACAGCGCAAGCTGAGCGACTCCATATTTTCAGTGGTGCATCAGATTTGGTCCCAGCACAAGTTACGAGGAACAGACAAATGTGGAAGGCCAAGGATGAAGCTGGAAGACTTCATAACTGTCCTCTCACGCTCGGCCCCTTACACAGAGGTTGTTTTCAGCACTGACTCATTGCTTGATGTTCTTGACAATATGGAACTTTCATAGTCACGAAGTACAAGGAACCTCTGCATTGCAAAGACTTGGTCCTTTAAAAAATTAAGGTGGCAGAGTTGGGAGACTTGTAGCCTAAAGGGTCTAGTTCTTGAGCTGATTCACTCCATTTGCTAGCTGCGGAGAAACCCCATCATAGGCTGCCTCAGTGTCCAGTGGCTGCTATAAGAAATTACCACAAACTTGGTGGCTCCAAACAACAGACATTTCTTCTCTCATGGTTCTGGAGGTCAGTAGTCCAAAATCAGCATCACTGGGCCAAAGTCAAGGTGTCAGCAGGGCTCTGTCCCCGTTGGAGGCTCTAGGAAAGGGTCTGATCCCTTCCTTTTCTACCTGGGGTTGCTGGTGTCCTTGGCTTGTAGCCACATCACTCCAGTCTCTGCCTTCATGGTCACATTGCTGTCTCCTGTCTGTGTCAAATCTCCCTCTTCCCTCGTCTGTGACTGTATTTGGGGCCCATCTGGATAATCCAGGATAATCTCCATCTCATGACCCTTAGCTTAATTACATCTGGTAAATCCCTTTGTCCATACAAGTAACATTTTACAGGTCCCAGGGTTAAAACCTGATGTCTTTGGGAGCCATGATTCAGCCTACTACACTCTCTGAACCTCTTTACCCTATGAAATGGGAGAAGCCAACCTCTACTCCAAGGCTATGCAAGCGTTGAATAAGAGAGTGAAACAGAAGTGCCTTGGGCACAGTAACAGTCTACTCTGTTCAACTCTGCCACTTGATTGGAACAATGTGGGGTTGTTCCCTCTTCAGTCAGTCTGTGGGGCCTTTCTGTGCCAGGGCCTGTGTAGGTGCTGGGCTTCCAGTGCGATGCAGACACACCCCTGGCCTCTCCGCCCAAGTGGAGCTCTTATGCTCCATCCAGTGGGGCAGACATTTGTCAATGGCCAATCTTTCTGTCAGGGTTTTCACCGGGCACATTGCTCTGAATTCAGCATTTCCGCTCAATGAAGAAAACAAACCTGAGAAACTGGGTGAATGACTGTGCTTTCCCAGCACTACCCAGCCTATGACGGCAGAAACAGTGGTGCCTGCTTCGTCTTCTTCGCCAAGCCTTTTGGACAAAGACTCATCTGAGGCTGTAAATAGCTGGCAGGAGCCTGACTTTGCAGACTGTTCGGCCCAGGCCCGACTGTGATGAATTGGTCTCTGGGAGACTCAGAATCGGCTTCAAATTAGATCCAGATGCAGTTATAGGAACGCCATGGCCTCAAGCAGAACTGCCAACCGTTCTCACTAGGTACCTTGGCCGACAGCAACTGCAATGAGGAAAGGCGGACCCAGTCATCAGGGCTCAGGGGGCTGCTCTGTCTCCTGCTGTCCTTCCACTTCTCCACTTGGCTAAAGATATTACACGTCCACTGTTAAGAATGTAATTGTATTCCTCCACTCCCTCCATTATTAATTTTAATACCGTCTTAGATGCTTACTCTGAAATAGGTGAGCAAAAGCATGGAGATCCTTCTAGTCTCTGTTATGAGTCACCAACATGGGCAACCTCCATGACCACTTAGACTTAGACTTCTCCTTGACCACCTCCTCCTCTCTCTCATTGCTAAGGAACCGAATGCCTGTCCAGCTCTCTTTAAGATGCTGTGGGCTCAGAAGGGCTCCCCACGGCCACCTGAGCAGCATTCCCATCCACTGTCTCTACGCCTTTCCTCCTGCAAAATCTGCACTCCTGATTTGAGCCACGTGCTGGTTGCTACAGAACATGGACCTACCAGGAAGCGTGGCTATGAACTATATCAGTGATGGCGAACCTTTTGAGCTCGGCGTGTCAGCATTTTGAAAAACCCTAACTTAACTCTGGTGCCCTGTCACATGTAGAAATTTTTTGATATTTGCAACCATAGTAAAACAAAGATGTATATTTTTGATATTTATTTTATATATTTAAATGCCATTTAACAAAGAAAAATCAACCAAAAAAATGAGTTCGCGTGTCACCTCTGACACGCGTGTCATAGGTTCGCCATCTCTGAACTATATAGTCCTTTGTGCCCCTCCATTCCCTGTCATTCCTGCTTGTACCCTGATGGCTTGTATGACAATCTGGATTCGGTCACTTATTAGCGGCCTCATCTTTTACCTTAGCCTTGGGAAGTACAATGTCTCCAACCCCTGCAGAGGCCGAAGGTCGGTTTTCAGTGGACTCCTTTGTCCAGGCTCCTGCCCCTCGTTGTGGTGGGACCAGCTCTTGGTGCGTAGTTTTCCTGCTCAGCCTCTTACACTGCACTGTCCCTCAGCCCTGTGCAGCCCCAGCCTGGTCTGGGCTCTGTGATTGCAGTGCCACTGTCCTCACTGTTCTACATGCTAGCAGCCATGCTCATTTTTCCAATTTTTAATAACAAAGCAACACTCAGTACTATTGTCTCTTTTCTCCACTCTCGGCTCCAGTGTTATCAGAAATGTCATATGACAAGGAGAGTTGGTGCTTCTAGGATTTAGCCTATCCAGCTTTCCAACGTTTGTTGAGACCTCACTAGTGCTCATAATTCCTTGTATTCTTTTGTGTTGTTTATTTGCTTTGTTTTGATATTCCATCTAGTTCCAAAATACTTGAGGCAGCCTATAAGGAACATAAGATTGCTTACAAGAGGTCTAGTAGAAGAACAGGAGTCTAACATGGTGACCATAATTGAGCAACAGATTTATGTCTGGGCTTACTGGCAGCCAAGGCAAAAAGGGAGGCCAAATCAGACGTACAATTCTAATAATCTGATGAAAGATGCAAGCAATTTTGAGAAACATTTTCCTGGGGTTAAATTTTAAGTAGAACTTGTCACATAGATCTTTGGTAGGGGACACTTAAGAACAGGAGACAACATCTTTGTCATTTGCTGGTAAATGCTGAAACTGTCTTATAGCCATTTCATTTAAGCTGGTAGTTGAAAGTTTAATATTAAGGCATAATCTGATGAAGAAAATTACTGGGGAATTAAGAAAGCAAATGAGATCTAGGTATATTTTTTTTCTGTCAATTTTATTTGAGCCTAGATATAAACTCAAAATACCTAAAGAACGAATAAATAAAAAACCCCTTTCTCAAATAAAATGTCTTAATTCCCCTTTTGTCAGCACCATTTCAAAGATCACATTAAATGCCCTCTCTTTTGCCCTGGCTGGTGTTGTTAAGTGGTTAGAGCATCGGCCCATGCACCGAAGGGCACATACCTGGGTTGCAGGTTCAGCCCCTGACCTGTTGGGGCGAATGCGGAAAGCAGCCAATTGATGTGTCTCTCTCACATCCATGTTTCTCTCTCTTTCTCTCTCTCCCCCCCCTCCTTCTCTCCCTCCCACTCTCTAAAAATCAATGGAAAAAATATACTCAGGTGAGGATTAACAACAACAACCAAAAGTACCACCTCTGTTACGGGTGCTCTGTCTTCCCAGAAGTCTCATGGTTTGTGCTGCTTGTGTAGTTTCTTCCTTGGTTCGCATTTACTTGAGTGCAAGTTTTGGCTGCACCACTAGACGGTCAAGTCCTCAAGACAGGACCATGTGGTATATGGTTTTCCCTCTCCCATGGTACCTATCCAAGTGTTTTGCATGTAGTAGTATCTCAATAAAGGTGTGGATTAATTGCCTGAATTAGTTATTATGTCAGAGGTATACAAGGTATGATTGCAAAGTTCTAGGGTTTAAAGATGTAAGCATTGCATTTAAATAGGTCAGAATATTTCTAAGATGAGAAATGCCTCCAGAGAAAAATGCCCTGGTTAAGTTTCACCTATGCCTTCTCCTTATTGCAGGTGCACAGCTGTGGAGAAGCCTCAGTGAAAGGTAGGAGACTTCCTTTCAGTGTTGTGGCTAATGGGGGGCCTGAGGGGAGAGGTGACCAAGCCGCCAGGATAGAACTCTGAGGATAGTTTAATAATATTTTAGTGATAGGGACTTAAGTCCTATAGGAATTTGCAAGAATGGGAAAATTCACGCAAATCCAGTGGGGACTCATTTAAGAAATAGCTCACATCTTGCTATTATATTGGGCAACCTGAATATGTGCCAGTGACGATGCCTGAGGACTGGAAGTGAAGAAAGAAGGGTGGACTGGGAGTGAAGGAGGGGCGTTTTCATTGAGGATTTCCTTTCAGACTTCGTTTTGGGGCATGAATGGCACAGCTGGGGAGAACAGGGCGACCCCGGGCCCTGAAACTGCCTGAACATTCCCGGAGGGTTAACCGCGCTGCCATTCTGAGGACTTTGGGGTGGGAGGAGCAGGCGCAGGGCTCTGACGGGTGATGGTGCAGCACATGTGGACTGACCTCTTGACTCCTTGCCCAGCTGGAGACAGGTCACTTCCCTTTTCATTGGGTGTCACCTCCCTGAAGTAGAAGCACATTTCCAAATGGCAGAGAAAAGAGCCGGGCAGTTGACGAGGGAGCATGATTCACTTTGCTAGCTGTGCATATGAGAGGTGGAAAAATGAGGAAAGTGGAAGGATTCATATTCCAGTAAAATGAATTTTTATGGGCACTTGTTTGTTTGTCTAAATCCTGCCTTAAAGAAACATTCTGGTATTACTTAGAGGGAGGGGTTTGGGGTGCTCGATATATGTAAAAGTGGACAGCATGAAACGAATGCACAAAAAGGACCAAACTGCTGTTCAAATTCTCTTAAAAAACACACAAAACTTGGTATTTTATGTGCCTTGAAAGCTGTGCTCTTGGAAATATTGAGTGTTTCAGGTGTAAAGGGTAATTTTATGGCCAGTTGACTTCTGCCTGCTTATTCCTTCATTCCGGATCCCAAATTTCCATGGACAGAATGTTTGTGAACTTGACAGGAGACTCCACAGAGGGAGACACTGGATATAAGAAAACTGACCCCCGTGGTTCTCAGGGTGGAGGAAGGATGGGTGGGAGGGATGACATGGCCCAGGGGGAACCAGCAAGGCTCTGACAGTCATTTGTCTCGAGATATTTCCCGGAGCCCAGTGTTCCAGTCTGTGTGCACCTAAGGATGGGGGCTGGTTGTCAGGGGAGCCAACCATGGGATTAGAGTGTTGGCATTTTCAGTCCTAACCCCTGACCTCCGGAGAGGGGAGAGGGGCTGGAGGTTGAACCAGTCACTAATTGCCAGTGATTGAATCCGTCATGTCTGTGTAAAGCAGCCTCCGTAAAACCCCAAAAGGGCAGGGCAGGGAGAGCTTCGGGGTCGGTGGACATATGGAGAGACCGTGGAAGCTATGGGCCCTTTCCCCTACCTCGTGCTATGCATCTCTTCCATCTGGCTGTCCCTGAGTTAGATCCTTTGTGATAAATTGCTAATCTAGTAAGTAAAATGTTTCTCTGAGTTCTCGTAGCTGCTCTTGCAGACTAATCCAACTCAAGGAGGGGATCATTGGAGCCGCCGACCTATAGCTGATGGGTCAGAAGCACCTGGGAGCCGCCAACCTATAGCTGATGGGTCAGAAGCACCTGACAGTGGGACTTGTGATTGGTGTCTGAAGTGGCGGGGGTGGGGGTGGGGGGCGGGGGAGGCGATATTTTCCCATACTTTTTTTCACTGCAGTTCCATTGTATAATTTCACTCCGAATCTATTCATCTCATTGAAGATGTGAAATTAAAATATGTATTCCTCAAATTCTTTAAAAAATATATATATTTATTTATTTTAGAGAGGAAGGGAGAGGGACAGAGAAACACCAATGATGAGGGAGAATCATTGATTGGCTGCCTCCTGCACGCCCCCCACTGGGGATTGAGCCTGCAACCCAGGCATGTGCCCTGACCAGGAATCGAACCCTGACCTCCTGGTTCATAGGTTGACGCTCAACCACTGAGCCACACCGGTCGAGCCCTCGAATGCTTTTGATGAAGATTTGTTATGTTGTTTACAGTGATTCTTGGCGTCTGCTACTGGGTAGTGCTTGTGGTTTTTAACATTGGAAAATGTAAAACCACTTTATTTTAAGGATAAAATACAGTGATGGGTAAGAGGATCCTTGGAAGCAGAGAGAGCTTCCATGTGGACCAGGGGCTTTCCACTGCCAAGGTCTCAGGTGCTGAGCTCAGCACCTCGCTCTCACTTGGCCGTAGGTAGAATCCACACGCACACCATGGCTGCACGGCAGATTCCCAGATTAGCAGCCTAGGGTGAGTTTTAACTCTCTCTAGCACTGGGCAAGTAGTTTGTGTTCAACCTCAGAATGAGCCAGACCTTCTCTTCATGGGGCTCTCGTTGGCTCATTAAGGACCATTAAATGCACTGTTAAAAGGTGAACCAAATAATGGAGCGCTCTCCCTTCATAAAGCCATTGTCAAGTTTTTACATGAAAAGGGAGCTCCTCAAGAAGGGAACCTGTGCACTGTTGGTAAGAATGCAAACTGGTGCCACCGCTATGGAAAACAGTATGAAGGTTCCTCAGAATATTCAGAATAGAGCTACTGTATGATCTAGCCGTTCCATTTCTGGGTATAAATCCAAAGGAAATGAAAACAGGTTGAAGAGATAGCTGCACCCTCATGTTCATTACAGCCTTATTCACAATAGCCAAGGTGTGGAAACGCCCTAAGAGTCGGCAGATAAGTGGATAAAGAAAATTGGTATATATACACAGTGCACTATCACTCAGCCATTAAAAAAGAAGGAAATACTAGAAAAATGAATTTTTAAAAAGGAGGAAAATCTGCCATTGTTGAGTGCCTTACATTAAGTGAAATAAGTCAGACAAAGACAAAATACAGTATGATCTCACTTGTGGAATCTAAAAAAGCTGAACAGGGTAGATGGGTAATTGCCAGGGGTTGGGGGTTGGGGGAATGAGGAGATGTTGGTCAAAGGGCACAAACTTTTAGTTATAAGGGGATCTAATGTACAGCATGACTATAGTTAACAATACAGTATTGTATATACTTGAAACTTGTTGATAGAGTAGATTTTAAATGTTCTTACCGAAACAACAAAATGGTAACGATGTGAGGTGAAGGGTATGGTAAACATTTTGCAATATATAAGTGTACACATCATCATATTGTTCACCTTAAACTTATATGATGTTTTATGTAAATTACACCTCAATTAAGCTGTGGTGGGGGGAGGAGTGGGGAAGGAATGCCTCACTTGTTACATCTAGTGGCTTATTATTTCAGACTGTTGTTTACTCTTTGGGAACATTTGCTCTTGTCAGCTAAGCTCAGCTTAAAGAATTTCCTTCAAAATTGAGCAGGAAGATGGTAGTGTACATGCACACCTATGCATGTGTAGTTTTTCTGGACACTCTAGAGGTTTTTATAAAGTTTACTACATAACCGTAAAGCCAGCACCTAATTTCCAATATTGTCGTCAGCAATGAAATTTGAATAATTTTAATCACAGGCCATTCACATTTGGTTTTTGTGCCTGGAAAATTCATCTTGTACAGATGTGATTCTTGGTGGGTAAATTCTGGGAAGCATTCAGGCTTGACCTATTTTTTTTTTTTAAATAACCAATAAGTACTAATTCTACAACCTGTGAACAGGATTTATGCGGAGCTGTCTGTCAGCCTAACCAAATTAACATCTTTTATGACTCATTCCTGGTATTGAAATGAAACCTGATCCATAGTGTAATAGCTTTTTATTTCTGCATGTGACTGTGGCCGCTGGCTGAACAAAACCCCCTGTTAACAAAGGAAAAATTGTGCACATCCCTTTTTAATAACAAAGTTGTTTCCAGTTAGGCCACGTGTTTTTAACCCTGGTTCTTTAATAGTGGTGTGCATCATAACCCAGGTGAAGGAGCTCTCCTCATCCTAAATCTTGTTTCATTGTTCAGTGCCAATTTACCGAAAATACAGGGGTTTTTCGTGGCAACTAAACGGATTTTGAAAATTGTGGCTGAGAGCTTTGGGATTTTTCTGACAGACTCCCCCAGAATCCCCGAGCTGCAGCCGGTCTCCTTCATAGGAAGTGGGAGTGTAATGTAAGCCATTAAGTAGTGCATTGGATCTACTCTGCTCAGCCTTGAGCTGACTCTTTGTAGGCACAGCGGAGGGTTAACAGTCAGTCTTTCTAGACCAGTGGTTCTCAACTTTGGCTGCACATTAGAATCACCTGGGAATCTTTTTAAAATCCTGATTTCTGGGCCTCATCCCCGGAAATTCTGTTTCTTTGTTACTAATGTTGTGGCCCCACTTCATAACAAAGAAACAGAATTTCGGAGGGTGAGGCCCAGAAATCAGGATTTTAAAAAGATTCCCAGGTGATTCTAATGTGCAGCCAAGGTTGAGAACCACTATTCTAGAGCCAGCAGGGATTATACCAGGTGTGAGCTTTTTGCGTCTAGCTGAGTCACATTGCCAGATGACACCTCTTAACTTGACTCTCTCACCTGCTCTGAGGAGAAGTCGTTATGTGGCCCCACTTCATGGAATAAATGCCCTCTGTATTGTCAGGGTCCAGATAACTGCTAAAGTGTTGTAGCTGGATTCCCCCTCTCTCCTGCCCCAGGAAGAAGAGCCAAGAATCTTTGGTTGTAAAACCCAAGTCCTGAGCTTGCCCCACCTCGCATGCCCAGAATGAACTGGAGCATTTAAGTAAGAAATGTCTGATTAAATCCTTGAGCCCAATATTATGTTAAAAGTGAAAAGTCATCCAGCGTTTGCTAAATTGTCTCCTCTGAGGAAGAGAATTTAATGTGAGAACTGCTTTTTATATTTATGAATCATTATTCCTCATCAAAATTGCATAGACGGTGAATTATCAAGTAAACAGCATCAAATAGTCACGTGTGTTAAATAACAAAAATGCAACCAAGTACATTTTAAAGATCTAACTGGCTTTGTTGAATAATTCAT